GACAATACGGATTATTAAACTGACTGTAAATTAACGAATGAATGAAAGGAAGGAATAAATCAATCAATCAATCAATGAATAATTGAATAATGAACTATTAAATTATTAGATTTTATCATATACAGTTACTTAATGGATAGTAATATTCAAATCAATAGTGTAATAATAATAATAAAATCACAAATACGGCTTCTGATTGGGCCACAGAAATAGTTAAAACCATAGTCGATGGTTATTGGTTATTATGGTTATTATTCGGGATATTAAGCAGGTAAAAATAAACTTATTGGCCCGAAGAAGACATATAGAGAGATAAGTAGGAAAATAAACATTACAAAATTTTACAAAATAAACAAATTTGAATACCTTTCATTTTTATTTGTTTACAAATCTAGGAGATGTTTTTTCTAGGCCATACTTTGAGAGACTTCCTGATTCGGGGATTCGCTTAGTTTTATTTGCCAGTTACAAGGATTGGTGGCAGTAAACATGAGACATTGTTGATTTAATTTGTATTTGATTTTGGAACCTTTTTGTTAAATAAACTTTGTAATAGTTGTCGAATATCTGTAAATTACTATCAATTATTATTTTATTATTTGTCTTTCCATATTCGGTTTGCAGTTAATGTGTGGATATACTAACATAATACAAGTAGTTTGTAAAGACAACGCCATCTGTAGGGAAACTACATATATCATTGCTAACCTCCTTTTTAAATGTTTGTCATGTTATTAACATAAATCTAGATGACACAAAATTACGCAGTAATCACACAATGTTGTGCCAGTCACATTAGATTTATTTCTACGGTCACAAAATGATTTAGAAATATATTGACTTCTACCTTTTTTAAATATGTCATGAAACGGGTTCAAAGATTTGATAGAAGCACAATTCATTACTCGATTAAAACAAAAATAATGTTCAATATATAACCCGCGTGAAGCTGAGCGGGCATTTGAAAAGCGACATCTACTGACTGACAACCCCCACCCCCAATTTGTTATTATTTCATATTAAGAAGTATCTATCTTTATTATTTATTAGCCTGGGTATAGTAGGTTTCACATTTATAATTAATCGTACTTATCACATTTGCTATAAAACAAATAAAACCTTATGGATTATCCCGTGTTTTAGACTCACATGTCCATGTATTTGAGTGTTGCTTTACGTCTCACTCGCAGTGTTGTTGTGATACAGTCCAGCGCATTAAAGTAAAATATGAGTGCCGGAAAGCTTGCTTCCTCAAAATTCTCAACTGCTTGTAGTAAAGGTCGATGTGATTCTGTACTGCCTTGGTGAATACTTAGCGGTAATATCGAAAAGTTCCGTACAGGATTTTCGCGACCCGATTTATAGTGATATTACTTATGCACCGCAGGAAATTCTAAGTTGCCAGGTATATGTAACGTAATCGTATCAAACGATATTGAAGATGTCCGAAGAATATTTAAGGCGATCGTACCGAACATCGCTCAACATTCGAGTCGTTCGTCTACTGTGACGAGTTATTTACCGATCATAAGTAAAAAGTGAAATTAAAATAGTTTTTACGGATCGAGATCAAAACTTGGGTGAATTTCACAGTCCCTTTATGTATAATTATTCGGATTTAACAACTTTTCTATCAACTCTGGTATTTTCTGTTTTATATAATGATCATAGCCCAAATACGAGCTGGGGTTAAATTCGCATATCAATTAAGATTGATGTCACATGTTTCAATTAGAATAATGCTGTCAGCATTTGCCTTTATGTGCAGCTATGACATAATGAAGGCAAATTTTCTGGTATTGATAACGCTACAATATAAAAACAGTAATTACTCTCGCTAAGAAATCATGGATTTGTTCGCTTCGTTGTCGCACACGTATGCTTTTACCTGTTATGGCTAAAATCTAGACCAATGAAAAATGAGACGTGTTACCTGATTGGAGATATTGTAACGAAGAGCAGGTAAAGTGTGACAGCGTCTGTACCAAAAATAGATACGTCGTTTTAAAGCTTCTTCCATTTATGTAATGAATTGGCGCACTTAATGACTTATCGACCAGAGTCTGCATTCGCCCGTATTCCTATCGTACTGCTCACACACGGTTATAAGCCAATGCCGTAATTTATTGAATTAATGTAAATCCTAAAAGCATTGTAACACCATTAATCGGTGCATATAGTATTCCATTAATTTTCACTAGAGTAACGATTGAACAAATATATCCGTTTTTAATTATTTAACGCATATAATGCGCTCTCGTCCAATCAGGATATGGCATTTATTAGATTACTGGAACATCTTTAAAAATACCTGGTAAAGCTTCTTAAATATGATTTACATCTGCAAGCGACACACTGAACATGTTTTATTTAGTAAGTTGTCTTGTCCCTGTTAAAAATCCATAATTGGTTAAATGAAAGTGAATAAAGTGTTAATGAGGCAATACGAATGACATACATCCAGTGTACTTATTATCAATAAGCATGGAAAGGTATATTCAACATTTATCGAAGATGTAATATGAACGAGAAAACAATTTTTATTAGACAAATAATTCCCAGGAATGTTAATGCTATAGAATGAAAATGCCACTGGGTGATTCAAACTCGCGGCAACAACTTGGCTAGCTCATCAACAGCAATCCCCAAAAAAGATAAACAAAAATAACCTAGCTTATTTCACGCTGAAAACGTGAAAGTCGACAGTGTCAATTGAATACACACAGCATACTGGATATCCGTGTACACCTTAACCCTTTGGTAGTACAATGAAAGATGGTATAATAGAGAGAAATAATCAGCCGACAGACAATATGTACACGTGAGTAAGGGGGAAATTAACTGGCTGCATAGAATTTAATGTTGATGAATTCCTTCAACTATGATTTATCATGAATGAAATCTGTTCTTGTAGCACATCTGTTTAATGAACAGTTATATACTATAATATGCTTGTGCACTGGTCGTTTTGGGTACGTAACACTGCACGTGCGCATTAGTATTTTTGGTAATTTTGTGTCCTGCAAATTCATATTTTATGACAAACCATAATGCGATTCTATCAACAGTATCGCACAACAATATTTAACAGTATCTTCAATGGTAGTATTAATATTGTTGGCATTAGTAAATCAAACATAATTATTAAAATTTAGAATAATACCCTTTATTCATGATTAGTGTTTTTGTTTTCTATCGTCTATGTCCGATCAATTCGGAGGCAATCGAGGGAATGCACGTTTATTTAAGGGCGGTAGTCGCCACGAGACGCCACGCATGCCCAAGATATATGGGTCTAATATAAACAAAGATGGCGACTTTGAGTGTTGCGCAGATCAACGAGTACTAACTGAGACGTTAGGAAGCTTTAATTAGGTATTTACGGTGGTTGGAAGGTATCGAAGGAGTCACCGGCGGTAATTAGTGCAAGTCGCGCCCAGGTAAAACCTCATACTTGTAATTTCCCTTAGAAGAGCGCATTGGATTGTGAGCAAATACATTTTTATCAACACAAATGTCGCCCATGCGCAGCGCGACGACTGCCGCGCTTTAAATATAGAAAGGATAATATTTCGTCATAAAAGATACTAGTTATGTCTGACATTCTGTGATTTTTTCTGAAGTCGATGAAATCTGGACCAAATTATACTTTTTTACTGGGCTAATGTCTTTTTTAGGAACACTTCTCAATGCAATGGACGAAATCAAGTGAAAACGTGTGCGCGTATTCGCATTCAAGACACTGGGAGTGAAGTGACGTCGCCCGTTTGCAGATATCCATGCGACAAAGCCATCGCTATGGAGGCGTCGATTTGTGGTATCGCCCTCATTGTTTACAATACTGTGTTTCATGCTGCTGTCACTAGCTGGCGCATACTCAAATAAAACACACACTGGCGAGGATGGCGCCATAATATTAACGAGTGCCCTTGTGTCCATCATTAGGCACACAAGGTCACGACATCATCCGAAATTAGAACGTTCACATCGACTAGAGTTGTTGAATGAGCATTTATTTTGACTGGCATATCAGATCTCGTGCTTTAATATGAAGACAAGTTGCAGGTGAACATTTGCACATGCTGTTTTTGTAATGATATTTCGTCTTTTAGGAACTTCTAAACGAATTAAAAGTGACTGTCTTCCAGGCTACACATGACAACACTGTGAAACCACAGTCAGCTGGCGCACACGTGATAATAAAATAAATACGATATTTACTACATGGGGGCCGCCATCTTGAATGACACATAAAACTAAATATTGGAAAATAGATCACATCCCCTAAGCTACTCACTTTTCGAATTTTATTCCAATTTTATAAGCATTCCTAAAGAAGATGTTTACCTTTCTACAAAATAGTAGTAGGATTTGTGGGTCCAACTATTTTTTGCGAGTTTAATGCCAATCATACTGTTATTAGTTTTATGTGTAATTACCAGAAAAGACATTATTACCCTCATGACGTGTGATTCCTCTAGCTGTATGAAATCATACATTCATTTGGTTGTACAAGTTATCATTGGTACCATGATCTCCGTGGATAATTACACACGGCTTTCTACAATAATAATTCCGTTGCTACAAATAGTTGGTAATTTGTTCAATATTATGTGGCGTCGGTGAATGGATATTACAGCCATCATTGTATAATTTAGCATACATTAGAGTTATGGAAAAAACGTAAATTGTACAGGAATATCTCTAGTTAAAGTGAGTCTTACTACTCATTTACCATCCACAAAATGCTTTCTTACGTGTCTGCGGCTTAACATTAACAGTCGCGCAGTACCTTTGACATGTCTGCCTGACAAGCGTGCATGACAAACATGCCTACGGTCAGTACGCACAAGAAACGAATACCTTATTCACTCCTTTGCTGTATTATTAATCGTACACTGACAGTGGATGTTACCACTGAAATGATCAGGCGTGCGAGTTTAATTGTTCCTATAGTATTATTCTTTCAATAACAAAAATGTAATGCGTAGTTTTGTATCAAGAAATGTGTGAAATTTAATTATTTTACAAATACGAACAAATGAATGATATTTGTTGGCGATGAAAGTTATATGAATTCATAGATGCATATTTAGCGTACGAAGAACCAACGATAAAGCTTACTAAAATTATCATTATATAAAATGTGATCGATACACGAATAATTGCTATTAACACAATAAATTGAAAGCGTCATTCGTGTATCTAATTATTTGATTGATTTGGAATTAGCTTTGCCATCCTTCGAGAAAAAGTTCGATATCTCCTCTCTGTTCCTTCCTTAGTTCACACCTATCACCTTCGTAGCCAGCAGTACATCTGAATAAATAAACAATTAAATCATTAAATAAACAAAATCAGTTCATCAACACTTCAGTCCTCGGTTTAGTTGTATAAGATAATGCAATTTAAAATAACAATGTCGACGAACTGCGTGATGCGTGTATATCAACATTCCTTACTACATTACAAAAATAACCGAGTAAAAGTTGTTCATACAGTTATAGTAATGAAGTTATAATTAATAATGAAGTTGATAAAACAAAGGGATACTCAAATCATTCTGTAATATTTAAATTTATTCATATTCACTTTTGATAAATTACACATTCATATAGGAAATGGTTTACTCACAGACAGTTCTTTGATGGCTGACTCTCAATTCCTTGTAAATAACATGTACCGCCGTTCATACAGTACGCGGCATCTGTGCAGACATGTAGTTGACAGACTTTACCAGCATAACCTTTGATAAAAATAGAACTGTTTTTTAGTTCTAAGTAGAAATGACACAACAAGGTCCCACAATGTGACTATTTATTGTATTGTAGTTGACGAACACAAGGGATCGGAGTATGCACTACATAATGAACCCAGCGCATCACGTTTTGCACGTTATTCATGATACGCGCAGATGAAATGCTTACTATAAACGTTCTCGTACTAACAATTTTATGACGTATACAAAACGCATACGAAAGATATGCATATTAATATTTACGAAACATCTACTAATAATGTATGTTAGGGGGTTTCAGAATACAATAACTTCCGGTATCGTCATTCAATAGCTATGCAAATCAGGACGCGAAGTCCAACAATTATGTAGCTGAACTATTCTTTCCAGTGTCTGTTTGAAACGATGCACATTATCAACATTCTCGAAGCCTACTATGTATAACATAACTTCCGGTATTATGCTAATAACATCATTATAACAAATATGAATATATTACTGAGTATGCATAACAGAATTAAAAAGATTTCTTATTACGCTTGAAAGGAAGCATTACTAATTGCACGTACTGACGTCATACAGCTAATCGGACACACTAGGGAGTCTTTTTATTACTGAATTTCTAATTTCTAAGTAAGTATTACGAATTAAATTGACATGAATATCTCAAACAACAAGACGTAATTATTATAATTACTAGATAGAATTCGGGTAATTGTTGCATGATTCATTTTGTAGTATGTGGAATAGATACAGCAGTGTAGGTCGACCCAGATTTAGCTTATTCAATTAATTGACAGAATGCGTACAATTATCATTACACTTTTACATATATGTAGTGCATTCAATACCTTCTGGACAATTGCAGATGAATCCGTGGATCTCGTTCACACAGGTTGAACCAGACTCGCAAGGAGAACTTGCACAATAATTTATCACTTTAACAGGAAGTTCAGCATCAATATCACGGTACTGGCAAAGAGTTCCAGTGTATCCCGTGGTGCACCTGGTAAAGGGGAATTAAGTTTGTTACCGCCATTTATGTTCAACAATTAAGGTGGGTATTTATTGGTAAACTACAAACGTAGTACAAAGTAAGGTTACAAATATAACCAAATGTATTACTCTTAGTAATACGTGGCGTCACAGTGGCTTCAGTTTTTTACATTGCCCATATGGAATATTTGTTCAACAACAAATCGTGTGTTATACCTGCAAAACAACAATCCAGCCTTGTCATTAGAAAAACATTTGCCACCATTCTCACAGCGGTTCTGTTGACGTGAACACGGACTGATCTCACAGTGGATACCATCGGTATCTGAAACAATTAAAGAATATTAAAGTTGGGAGCAATATGTCGCAATTATATAAGGTAAATTTACAGCGTCCTTCAACAAATAGTGTTTATAATAATATACAGCATGTTTTACCTGGTTGACATGCGCAGGAATATCCATTAACTTCCTTGATGCAAGTACCACTGTTGTAACATGGACTACTGGAACAATAATCAATCATGGCTTCACAGTGATCCCCGGAATATCCCTGCATGCAACGGCAAGTGTAACCATCCATTGTGTCAAGACAGACGCCACAATGCAAACAGGGCTCAGACTCGCATTCATTAATGTCGATTTCACAGAAGCGACCGGTAAAACCGCTTGGACAGGTGCACAGAAAATCCTTCATCTCATTGGTGCATGTGCCACCATTTGCGCAAGGACGATTACGACAGGTGATAAAGCTTTCACACGACCCACCAGTGTAATCTTGCGAACAAACACACGTATAGCCACTTACTTGGTCGACACATATACCATTGTTATGACATGGCCTCTTGGCGCAATCATCGATGTTTCTTTCACAGTATTGACCAGTAAATCCCGGCCCACATCGACAATGGTACCCATCGACCTCATCAATACACATTCCATAGATGCACGGTGCTGATAAGCACTCATCTATGTCAATCTCACATACACGTCCGGTAAATCCTGGGAGACAATTGCACACAAAGTCATAGGGTAAATCGGTGCACAGGCCACCATTAGCACAGGGAATGCGACTACAGTAATGTATAAGTTGCTCACAATTGTTGCCTGTGTGGCCAGGTGTGCAGACACATTTATATTCATTGATATCATCAATACATATACCACCATTAGCACACGGTGAGCTTGAGCATTCATCGATGTTCAACTCGCACCAGTCACCGTGATAACCAGGTAAACACTGACAGAAGTATCCATTTGCACGGTCAATACAAGTAGCACCATTTCTACATGGCTGTGATACGCATTCATCGATGTTGAAGTCACACGTTTTACCGACAAATCCTGGGGGACAGTCACAAATGAAATCGTCTATCCCATCTACACACTGGCCACCATTCTGGCATGGATATAATCCACAATCGTCCACATTGGCTTCACAAAATCTACCCTCAAAGCCATCTTTACAGACACAATGGAATGTGTCTAACTTGTCTAAGCATGCCCCACCGTTCTTACAAGGACTACTAGCACACTCGTTAATATTCATCTCACAGTTTTTACCACCATATCCTGGGAGACATTGACATGTGTAATCGTTTATCTCATCTACACAGAAGCCGTTATTCACACAAGGACCCGATGCACACTCATCAACCTCCTTGCTACATGATTTATCTGTATAACCCGGTAAACAGTGGCAGATATAATCATTTGGACGATCTTCACAGTAACCTCCATTTTGACATGGATTGCCACTGCAGTCATCTATATTCAACTCACACCTGCTCCCTGAATACCCAGGTGGGCAAACACATTGGAATCTGTCCACATCATCCACACATAGGCCGCCATGTATACACGGCTGGCTGACACATTCATTTATGTTGATTTCACAGATTTGTCCTTTAAATCCAGACGGGCAGGTGCATTTGAACCCGATGTTTAAATCTTCGCAAATTCCACCATTTTTACAAGGTTCAGATGCACAATCGTCGATGACAAACTCACAGTCATGACCTTCATAACCTAAAGCACAGGTACAGTGGTAACCCCCAATAGTATCAGTACATGTTCCTCCATTTTCACAAGGTTCATTTTCACACTCATCAATGTCAAGAGCACATCGGAATCCAGTGTAGCCTAATAAGAAAACATATACACATTAGTATACCAAATGGCATTAGTTCATCAGTTGTGTCGCTGTTTTCATGAATATTTATCAATACAAAAGGTTATGAACAAAACACAATTAACTAAAAGTACTCACCAATGCGACAGATACATGTAAAACTATTTATACTGTCCAAGCATGTACCGTGCACGCAAGGATTGCTGGCGCATTCATTAATATTGATGTGGCAATCTTTCCCTGTGAATCCTTCAGAACATAGGCACATATAGTCGTTTGTACTGTCAACACATGTGCCATTATTTCGGCATGGATTTGGTTGACAGTTATCAAAGTTATTGGAACAGATCCTTCCAACAAAACCAGGTCTGCACATGCAAAAAAATCCGTTGACTAAATCCATACAGGTGCCGCCATTCTCACATGGGTTCGGTGAGCAATCGTCAATGTTGATTTCACACAATAAACCCGCAAATCCAATAGGACATTGGCATGTGTAAGCTGCTATTCCATCTAAGCACGTTCCGCCATGCATGCAGGGTGCACTGGAACAGTCATCTATGTTCAACTGGCAATTCTTCCCCGCATAACCTTCAGGACAGATACAGTAATAGTTGTTTACAAGATCCTCGCACGTTCCCCTGTTTCTACAAGGATCTGATACGCAGTCGTTTATATTCACATCACATACAGTCCCAGTGAAACCTACCTCACATATGCATTCAAAGTCATTCACCAGGTCACGACAGACGGAGTTGTTCATGCAAGGATTAGGATCGCAATCATCAATATTTATTTCACAGTTATATCCTGTAAACCCGACCTCACAAATACAACTGTATATGTTGACATCATCCAAGCAATGGCCATCATGTAAACATGGATTACTGTTACACTCGTCTATATCAACATCACAGTCTCTACCAGTGTATCCAGCCTGGCAAAGGCAAGTATAATCACCAACAAGATCCACACACGTACTGTTGAATCTACACTGATTAGTGGCACATTCGTCTATATTGGTGCCGCATGTCTTCCCACCGAATCCTAGCGGACATTGACAGTGGAAATCATTTATCAAATCTACGCACATTCCCCCGTTAAAACATGGGAAAGACATGCATTCATCCTCATCGACTTCACAGTGAATGCCACGGAATCCAGGCTGACAGACGCACTGATACTTGTCGAACCCATCTATGCATGTTGCATTATTTTGACAAGGGCTGCTGATACATTCATCAAGATTCGAATCGCAGTTTCTTCCTGTGAACCCGGTAATGCATTCGCAGCGATAGTCATTCAGTGCATCATAGCAGGCTCCATATCGACAAGGAGAACTTTGACATTCATTAATGTCAATATGACAGTATCTTCCAGTAAACCCATCAACACATTCGCAAGCAAAGTCGTTGACCAAATCAATGCAGGTGCCGTCATGCTGACAAGTGACGTCAGCACATTCATCAACATTAGTTTCACACACATCTCCTGCGAAACCATCAGCGCATGCGCATGTGTAACCATTCAGTTTGTCAATACAAGCTCCTTTATTTAAGCACGGGTTGCTATTACATTCGTTGATGTCAATATCACAGTCTTTTCCTCCCCATCCGGAAGAGCATTCACAGGCGTAATTATTTATCAAATCGGTACACACAGCGTCATTGTGACAGGGCTTGGCTTCACACTCATCAATATCATACTGGCATTTATGCCCCGCGAACCCAGGGTCACAGTCACAGTAAAAAGTTGCAACTAAATCAATGCAGAGACCGCCGTTCAGACAGGGGTTAGGATTACAGTCATCTTCATTTGTTTCACAGTGACTACCATTGAAGCCATCGACACATTGACATACGTAAGTCAAAAACTCAGCTTCACAAGTACCGTCATTCTTACATGGGTTACTGGCACAAACATCGATTCTGGTTTCGCAATTAGCACCAGTGAATCCAGCTGCACACGAACAAATGTACTGTCCGAGTAAATTGAAGCAGGTACCATTATTGGCACACGGACTGCTTTCACATTCATTAATGTCACGAGAACAGTTTTTATCTGCCCAGCCAATGGGACAAAGACACAAATAGTCATTCACCAAATCATAACACTCGGCATTGTTTCTGCACGGCTGATCAGCACATTCATCGATATTGTGTTCGCAATTAATACCATCATAACCTGTTTTAACAAATGTAGAGTGAATTTAATAATTACACATTCTGTGCTATGTTGGAGATCATGGCATAGTATATATTGTTCCTTTATATAAAAATGTTTAAAGTAATCATAATAATAAAGGAGATCACATTAAACGCTCGGAATAAAGTTTTAGAATGACAGCACATAATGTCAACAGTAATGCAAAAACCGGAACGTAAATCTCTTTGCGTATCAACAACAATTAATACGTAAGTAACGACTGACTCGATACCGGGGTGCAACTAAGGAAACGTTATAGAAATATTCAAATATTAGCGTACCTGGCTCACATTGACAGATATATGCATCTAAATGGTCCTCACAATTACCTCCATTCTGACATGGATTACTAATACATTCATTGATATCCTGCTCACAGAATATGCCGGTAAAACCAGCTGAACACGTACAAATAACGGCGTTGACGCCATCTGTGCAATTTGCTCCTAAACATAAAAAAAAAAAAGGCCAGTTATTGTGTATATGCTATTATGTATATTTATACTGTATAGAATGGTGATTTCTTTAATTCGGGAATGAAAATGTTCTATGAATTTGATTAATTGATCAGATATTATATTTTCATAATTCATTCGACTGTGATCAAGGTATATTAAATATTTAATGAGTATTAACATAATAACATTGCGTGACATTCGACAAACACGATGCTATTTTTTGAGAAAAATGTCACGCTTGATAACGTGTTATACAAATTTGATATAATAATGAATGATGGGCATTTCGACATTGAGCGAAACAAGAGACACACAAATTCAAAATTAATTTGATTTTCGCGGTAGACGTTCGAACCGCGTCTAATCGCTTTACAGGAGATCTTGCAGTGAACGCGAAATCGCCTATTCTATCTTTGATTATAACAAACATGGTCCTTACCATTTAAACACGGACTTATTAAGCACTCATCAATGTTGTGCTCGCATTTAAATCCCTCAAAACCAGGATGACATATACAACTGTAACTGTTGACGTCATCTATACAGGCGCCGCCATTTTGACACGGGTTTGAACTACACTCGTATATGTTGATCTCACACAGGCTACCTGTGAATATAAGTTAATATTACGTCATCAATAGTATAAGCGTGTCTGGAGAGAAAATTGTCGAAAGTATCGTTAAACAAGTAAACTCACCTGCAAAACCTTCTACGCATGCGCATTTATATCTATCCACCTCATCCACACAGCTTCCACCATTTTTACAAGGATTGCTTACACACTCATTAAAATCGACTTCGCAATTCCGTCCAGCATAGCCTAGAAGTAAAACATATATTTGTTAAACAATGTATAATGTAAAGTTGAAGACTGAAGTACCACATAAAACATGTCAATATTTAATTTTGTCCCATGGCTTGAAACTATGCTATTTTTTTAAACTAAAGTCTGCTTCAGATTCTCTCCGGTAGAGAACGTTCGCGCAGTAAACTCATTGACGCGTGGTGGCGTATGTTTCACCGAAACAAGTAGCAGCGCATATAACCCAGTACAGTAAAGCTCATTGTCGCTCTCATTCGCAATGTCTCTGCTTCAAAGTTAAGTGTAGAAAAGTTGTTTTAGCTTCGGCTTCAACGCTATCACGCTATCTGGCAGTGACATCGAACATCGATAGTTAATTTTGTCGTTGGTTCATACAAAGTTGTCCAATCCCGTCCCTCATTTTATGACAATCAAACAAACTCGTTAATTATATGTTACATAATGAAAAGGATCAAACACCACATGCAATGATTCTCACCTGCCAAGCATTCGCAAGTATATAAATTCAGTCCATCAGTGCACGCTCCTCCGTTCAGACAGGGATTACTGTCACACTCATTGATATCAACGTCACATAGATGACCTCCATAACCTCTTTTACATTTGCATGTTACGTAATTGATACCATCAATACACGTCCCATCTATTCAAGAAAACATGGTACAATACAAAGGTGATGCAAATACCAGAGGGGTTCTCCGACTCAATGAATCACTAAGGATACCCCGGCAAAATTCGATTTTTTATCAGTCTTGTTTGTATTAGTCAAAGTAAAAAGTCAAAATTGCCCATATACATGATTTCAATGGAATTAATGTTCACATCAACTGTTTATAGTGGTAGGGGTGTTTTCACGGGTTCTCATATTCATAATTATAAACAATTAAGTGAACGTTTAAAATGTAATTTGGTTCACGGAATACAATAATTTACATGCTTACTGTTAAAACAGGGATGTGACAGACATTCGTCGATATTTATTTCACAATGATCGCCATCAAAGCCAGGTGTACACGAACAGTTGTAAGCGTTGACGTCATCTATGCACTGTCCGTCGTTGTCACATGGATCAGATTCGCATTCATATATGTCTATATCGCATGTATATCCTGTGGAGCAAATAACAACAATTTTAAATTATTGTATTGTATTGTATTTTCATCTCTGAAATGAAATGGTGACTATAATTATTACTCCATATTGTCAGTGTAATGTTGAGCCGGTGGATTCTCAATTAGAATATGACTTTGAAACAACAAACCTTCATATCCGGGGAAGCAATCACAAGTGAAACCATCAATCTCGTCATAACATATCCCATGTTCACATGGGCTACTGGAACACTCATCGATTTCAACTGTGCAGTTTTCACCTTCAAAACCTAAAAAAAACAGATATTAAAGAAACATTGAAAATATCACATACAAGTATATTTACATCAATCTTGTTTTACCAATACATTTGAACGAAGCACTAACCTGATGCGCATATGCATATATACGAATTGACGTCATCAACACAAGTGCCGTTATTATCACATGGTGACGTCATACAATCATCTATATCGATTTCACAGAACCTGCCAGTGTATCCATCCGCACATTGACAAATCACTGAGTCGATGCCGTCAACACAAATTGCCCCTAAAAATAAATCATTGTAAATACGTCATGTAGTATTGTGCTATTAATATCGTTTTGAATCACTGAACAATAGATTGTGACTACAAAAAAGTTTTAGGAGAAACGATCGAGTTAAAACAGTACCATGACAATAATTATTAGCGTGCTTTAGATTTACAGTTCTTAAGATTATTTGACAATAAGTTACACATAATGCATCCATAAAAACATCATTTACCATTCAGACAGGGTACAGACAGGCATTCGTCGATGTTTACTTCACAGTTTACGCCTGAATATCCAGATAAACATTGACACTGGTATCCATTTATGATATCAATACATCGCCCATTCTGACACGGAGCTGACTCGCATTCATTGACGTCCAATTCACAGTGATTACCTAATTGAACATAGAATAATCATTGTGCAGGTTATAAGGGGTTTGGTATCTTTGGTACTACAATTTTACGAATATATCCTAGTGGTCGCCGAGATCTCGTTGAGGCCGAAAAACTCGCGAGACTTGTTACCCCCCCCCCCCAATTAATGTTCCTATTCTCCGCGTCATCGCGGCACTGTTTCTAATACCATGGTTACGTATATCAAGGGAACAATGGACACGACAACGGAAGGAAATGTAACTATATTTAATATATTTTTTTTTTAAATTGTTTAATTATATAATAAATAAACAGCATTGAATGATAGTACAACTTTAAATTTTGAATAAATATGTATCGATACAATCGCTACTAATTTGACAGAGAATCAAATAAGATATGTAATGTACAATTACCTTGCCAACCAGCAAGGCAGACACATGTGTAGTTATTAATACCGTCAATACACCGACCATTATTCAAACACGGGGTGCTTTCACAATCATCGAAATTAATCTTGCAGTTCTTTCCACCGAAACCTTGAAAAAAAAAAGTACGTAAACAGATACAGATGTACATTATCCATGTAATAAACAGTTTTATAATCGTTTTATATTAACTCAGAATTGACTAATAATTAATGAGAGTTTAACCCTTACCAGGAGAACACTGGCATCTGTAATTGTCAATAAGATCGTGGCATATACCACCATTTGCACACGGAAAACTACTGCATTCGTTGATGTCCGTATGGCAGTATCGCCCCTCGTAGCCAGCTGCGCAACCACATACCACGCCATCTACGATATCGTAGCAGGTACCACCTATCAAGCGCAATAATTATCAATAATAATTGTCCTGTTGTTGAGATACATATTTCACAATTTAACAAAAGGAAATGAAAAAAAACACTAAATGTCAGCTAATATGTTCGAACTCTGTATGAGTATATACAACCAAGACAACATAGCGTGTTATAGAGTTTATACAACCGAGAAATGAATAGCGTGACTATTATATGTACGCTATAAGTCGCAGAACGTGTTTGGTGCATACGTTACACATACTGTCATTGAATCTTGATAGAAGTGCTTACTAATTTCACGCATTTCGTAGAAATCACTATCTCTTGCAGGGCGTTTCGCGCTTGACACTTGGGCACGACTATCGTGTTACTATAGTAAGCACCATTGGCGCGCGCGCATGACAAGCGTTCCTGCTGTGGGAGTTCTAAAAATGGTAACGTATTCTGTCCTCGTTTGTAATTAATCACGCTGTACAAATACAGGATATAATAGTCCACCAGTGAGCTTACCATTTGAACACGGGTTAGGGTTACACTCATTGATATTAATTTCACAGTGTGTTCCATTGAATCCCTTAACACATTCACAGCCATAACCACCAATGAAGTCTATACACGTTCCACCATTGTTACAAGGAGATGATTGGCATTCATCAATGTTGATTTCACAGCGAGGCCCTATGACGTATATATGCATATAACAGAATAGAAACACTATATAATATCGATGTTCCGCGTGCGACATGGATGGTGTAGTAGGATGGTCCCGATAGGGAGTTTAACGTTACAAATTTATCTGAAGTGCATATCATGGCATTCTTTTAAAAAATAACACTTACAAAACATGTATAGAAGTTTAAAATACGTATGTATGAAAGACTTCACAGTGGACCTACCTAGACATCCATTTGGACATTTACATGTGTAATTAGCAACGCCGTCTATGCATTCACCATTATTCAAACACGGATGACTCAAGCAATCGTCAGTATTAATCTCACATAATTCGCCCTCAAATCCTGTAGAAACACACACCTCGTTTATTTATAAGATATAATGTCGCTAACACTGCGTAATATAATTGTGTATGTTCAATGTTATAATCGTGTTGTAAATAAATAGAAAGCGGCAATGCACATATCATTGTCTACAGGTGAGTTATGAATATTGCATATAATTCTGCATTTAATCATGCAGTTTGACAATAATGATTATAATTAAACTGCGAGTATATTTAGACTTTAATAGTTAGTGAAATTCAAGTGCCGTAAACTTAAATATTCACACATTCCGTCCAATTAAGTGAACATAGTGTATGCTTGTGTCGCATGCGTACCCAGTTCACAGATGCAGTAATAGCTTGCCACGTGGTCCAAACACGATCCGCCATTTTGACAGGGGTTAGAATCACATTCGTTGATGTCATTCTCACAGAAGGAACCATTATAACCAGCGACACACTGACAAATGACGGCGTTCACAGAATCGATACAGGTCGCACCTAGGTATGAGAGAAAAATAATAATCAGTGTAGCGCAAATCTGTCATGTAAAAGTTAGAAAGTTTGATAAATACAGAGATAAATATAAAAAACTGTGCAATAAAGTCACTACTACTCACCGTGTTCACAGGGTGAATTCCAGAGTTCACATTCGTTTACGTTCTTTTCACAGTGAACACCTTCGAAACCAGGTGCGCATCGACAGTTGTACGAATTGACGTCGTCATGGCATGTTCCATCATTTTGACAAGGACTGGAAGCACACTCCTGGATATTTTCTTCGCAGTTCAAACCTAAAGATAATCATTAATTAATTTACGTTTCTAAGTGAGTAATTTTCGAGTTGTGGCATTCCAAAAGTAGGCGAGGTTTCTCAAATATGGGCGTTGTAATTTTTGTAACTCGATGTTTTCTTAACTCGATGTTCGTAACTCGATGTCCGTAACTCGCACAATTCATCATCTCTACAGAATACACGTGTGAAAAAATACAAACCGAGGTTACCTGAATATCCATCGGGACACTTGCAAAGATATTTGTTGACGTTGTCATAACACGTGCCGCCATGTTCACAAGGAGAACTTCTACATTCGTTGATGTCAATTTCACAACTCTTGCCCTCAAAACCTATCATTTAATAAAATATTATAACAGCGAATCATCCAAACATTTTCAGCATACACTGTAACAGTATTTGCCTAGAATACTGCAAGAACGCATTCAATGCCTAGACATTGTATAGTTGGTGATAATGTATTGAATGATATATACAATATACATGATCACCTTTTGCAGTTAACCTTAATGAAATTATACCATGTATATATATATAGAAGGCACAAAGTAACTTACCAGGTTGACATTCACATCTATATGTATCTTCAGATCTGTAGCAAAATGCATTGTTTTTGCATGGGTTGCCGTAGCACACATCCTTGAGTTCACAGAACTGACCACTGTAACCAGGGCGACACGTGCACTGCACGGAGTTCATCCCATCTATGCAAATGGCACCTGTAAGCAACATCCAATGCATATGTATGATGGAAAGGGTAATGACTATGTATAATTCGGTGTAGTATTTAATGTGGCTGAGGTACATGAGTGGAGATGTTTATGAGTGGCAAGCTCCAATATAGATACAGCTACCCGGCTGAGCTGTCTAACATTTGACTCTTTCTTACTATTTGAGTATGTCATGTACAGCCGATAAAACTCACCATTTCTGCATGGATGTGATGAACATTCGTCGATATTTATCTCACAATTGGGTCCCGCAAAACCCGGCGGGCATGCGCATTCGTATCGGTTGAAACTATCCTTGCAAGTACCGTCATTCAGACATGGACTTGAATCACACTCATCAAGATTCACCTCGCAGTTATAACCTGTAATAAGAGGCTAAGTTGTGATACTGTAACAATGAAGTTTCAAAATAAACGCAAAATGTTAGCATATTAGAGTTGTGTACACTAATATTCACAACATCTTCGAGGGAATTGCACGGGTGTCCGACCTTGTAATCCAGGGCCGCACACACACGAGTAACCATTTATGTCGTCAACACATCTTCCTCCATGTCTACACGGACTGCTCTGACATTCATTGATGTCTATTTCACACTGCTGACCAGTGAAACCTAAAAGGTGAATATACACTTTATATAAGTATACACAGACGCTTTTTACTCGCAAACGCAGAAATTAACCAAACAAACGCAATCGCGCGTATTTTTGTTTGTTCCAGTGACCTAAGCGACCAATTCCGTGTGCAAGGTACTCTGCTCCGTTGTATCAGTAACGTGCTTGCTCGTATTATACAATGGCCATATTATAGATCAACTTTGTTTCAACGATATGCCAAGAAATAAAATCGAATATATAGCTGAAAGGAACTTGGTCATATAACAAATGAATACCAGACAGATTGTTACAATTGTTTTACTATATCAAGTAATTGACACATGAATTATAGCGGTCGGACCGATAAATGTTATATATTGTAGCCGATATTTGGTATTGTAGTGTAAATTATGGCATAGTTTATTCATGCTTTAATAGAAAACTAGCCTCACCGGATATACATTGGCATATGTAGTGGTCTTCTTCCTCTTGGCAGGTTCCGCCATTCTGACACGGATCACCATAACACACTTGTCGAATCTCACATAGACTTCCACTGAAGCCGGGTCTGCATGTACAAATAACCGAATTGATATCATCTATACATGTAGCACCTATAGTATGAATGAGGCGGAGACGAAGCGATTATTGATCAAAACACATTCATAGAAAATTATATTAATGATTACCAATAGCAGCACACGTTTTATTTGAGATATATTTCTGCTAATTGAAAATATTGAACTTAGTATTAGAGTATTTTGAGCAGTTGGATGTAACGCGTAAATACTCTGCAGAACTTCTTTGACAGTCTCAATGGCGATGCTGATGGATTCCACCTGGAATACGATGACGGTTTTCATAAATGCGTTTTAGAATTAACGAGCGTATCACAGTATCAATACTTGCCATTCCGACAAGGGTTCGACAGGCATTCGTCCACGTTTATCTGGCAGACGAATCCACTGTAACCAGGCAAGCAATCACAGTCAAAGCGATTGAAACCATCTCTACATGTGCCACCATTTTGACATGGATCTGAATCACATTCCTGGATATTCGTCTGACAACGAAGACCTGGAATGAAAGTATGTATGAGAAAATGTAAAGGTATGTGACTCAAATAACAAATAAAATAAAATAAAATAGAATTCGGTCTTACAAATTGTAATAGTAAAATATATGATACGTAGACTTAGCCAGTGTTGTCTATTGTGCAGGACATACTATTTGTTATTATCACATCCTACACTTGTATACATTACCTTATTTAGTTTGTTTACGTGTTTTCAATAAAAAAATTGTTATGGGAGTGTATAAATGGCAAAAGTTGAGTTACGGTAAAAATCGTTTGCGTTGTTTTCGCCTAGACCCAATTTTATGGCTTGTATGCATATATGGTATGTATGTATGCAAGTCTAACCACATTCATCAACATTCTTCATACCCCAGGTACGCTAGCCGCGATCTAAAATCTCCAACTATTATGCCTCTCAATCAAAATATAAAAACCTAGAACTATTAGAATTACCTCTCAATACATGTGCGCATGAGTAGAACTAGTATAATTACCTTTCAACCCGGGTGCATAAACCTAATAACAACTCAATCCAGATACACAAGCATATAACTACTATAATTACCTCCCAATCCTGGAGCACAGGTACAGCTAAAGCTGCCAATATGGTTTTGACACACGCCGCCGTTAAGACAGGGATTGCTTTCACACTCATCGATGTCATTTTCACAGTGTTGTCCATCATAACCTAAATACAGTATGATTATTATAGTTAGAATAATGATTAAATCTGGAAACACTATTCAATAGGGAGCACTACTACAATCTACCGATCTCTGCATATTTCAGTTAAATTTGTAACCTTACCTGTTGGGCAGCGACATATATATTGCTCGGCATGGGATAAACAGATGCCACCATTCTGACAAGGTTTTAATATACATGGATCAGATATTATCTCGCACAGCTTTCCAGTATATCCACGTGGGCATATGCAGAAAAATGAGAAGTCGTTACTGAGCGCTGTCATGCACGTCCCACCTGTAGACAAATGACAAATGACTTCAAAATTAAGAAATATATTATTTTTACTAGATATAATACATATGTGTACATATTTATACGTAACTGAGGTGTAAATGTAGTCTGTGCTGGTGATTACCGTTTGTACATGGAGCTGAGAAACAATAGTCCACTTTCTCGCAATGGTTTCCACTGAAACCGCCTTGACATGCGCAGTTGTATCCGTCAATTTCATCTAAACAGACGCCACCATTTTGACAGGGATTTGGATTACATTCGTCCACATTTATCTGGCATATGTCTCCTGTGATAAAAGTATATTTAATTAAAATACTATGATTTTATGCAAATACTAAACAGTGATTAGTTATTCTATAAATTGTACAATCAGTATGATAAGAGATTCAATTTGTACGGCACGAAATGGTGCATTTAGCCTGTCTGGATACACTATTTTACAAACGAATGAATACCCGTACCGACCAATGATTTATTGTAATTATTTCTTTACGTACCTTCGAACCCTACCAGACACTCACAATTAAATGTTCCCATTGCATTTGTACAGCGCCCTCCGTTTAAACAAGGATCTTGCGCACACTCGTCCATGTCCTTTTCACAGTTAGTACCTTCATAGCCTAGTAATTAACAAAAGTGAGAAGCAACTTATTAGCGCCCTCTGGTGATCACCGATGTACGTTGATATTGTTTTGATTTTTATAGAGATTAGCTGCATTTTATAGAGTTATCTATTGAAACGACATTGCGTATTCCCGTCTACGTCATTTTATCGCCACAATCACGGTAGCGTTTTTATTTTAGCATCTCGAGACGAAGGCGGAATTAAAAAAATGAATGCGCAAAAAGAATCAAAGAGAACATCCCACAGGGATGAATAACAGGAAAAAGATCTCCATGCCTATTTTATACGGAAAACAATAATAGAATAAACAAATATAGTGAATTCATGATTGAAAAATACAGCACAAGACTAAGTGAAGGAAAGACATATTTTTTTGCCATCACAACCAAGAGTTTCTATTGGTCCATTCTTTAGTGCCAGTATCACAGCAGCGGTAGCTATGATTTTGAACATTTTGTTTTGTTTTTATATAACCACATAACAATGTTTAGACACAATTACATGAGCAAAGTGACCTTACAAAAAATCTAATTCACATAACATGCGATATGACAACCTAGGGTCAAACATTATGACGCACGACGCGCTCTGTTACGGGAATCGATACATAAATTTATCTGTGAGAAGACCCGGGTATAATCCGTCAGGGAGATTCTTAAGATGGCGACGTACAACTTGAAATTTCGCCTAGGCCACCAGTAATTTTTCACGGCTCGCTTGACAAACCTAGTTTTCGATAGAGTTTGGCCGCTAGATTCCGGGACGCAACCCAACGGCCATGTTTTTCAATTGAAAGTGATTTAATGTGAAACATCGGTACATAACAAATGTGTTATGTTTTCAGTGACACATTTCAGCGAAGGTTGTCAAAGAATGACAATAATGACACAGAGAATATTTTTTTTAAATAAAAAGAGTTATTGTTCCAGCTATCATTGGCGCTTTAACTAAAACGATAACAGTCATGTCAATATTAGAATAAAATATATATGATTATCCTACCGTCTGCGCAATCGCACATGTATTGGTCACCACGTGACAAGCAAATGGCTCCATTTTGGCAAGGTTCTAACACGCACGGATCTGTAATGACTTCACATAGGTCACCACTGTAACCCAGGCGACACAGACAAAATATAAGTGACGACGATCCACTAGCTGACATGCACGTTCCACCTAGTGAAAAAAATAACGACTATACAGTAACATGATCTGTAAATTGCTAAACTCAAAATGTTCAATGCTATTTTGAACGAATGTCACGTAGTGGTTTATACTTATAAGTACTTCTGGTCGTCTTAAATATGTGCATGTTACAGCTGTTCAGAGTAACTCGAAAATTATAAGTGACAAATGACATTACCGTTTTGACAAGGTTCCGACAGACATAAATCAACCAGAGTCGCGCAATTGTGTCCACTGTATCGTTCTTGACATGCGCAGTCGTATCTATTAATGCCATCAATGCAGACTCCATTATTTAGACAAGGAGTCGATGCGCATTCATCGATGTTAATTTCACACACTTGACCTGTAAAAAGGTAATACGTATGCTGAACTAAAAGTGGATGTACGGACAAGTAACATTGGGCGTTCGTAACATCGAGCGGCATGAACACGAGATAGTGCTCCGTGATAGTGTATATATATGATAACACTAATTCAACATTTTGAATTCACTAAGACAAACAATTCCTATTCCTGTAACCCGGGTATTCACAAGTAATCCATTGCATTTACGTGGCGACTTCCTTAGCAGTGAAGTCACGAAAATGTAATTTTATATCTTTTGCACTTGAACTAAGGGTCAGCTCAAAATTAATTAGAGTGGCATGTGTTACCATAGTGACATCACGTACGCATATTTGATTCACAAAATGGGGAAACTGTATTTTTTGTACATTGTACAAGCTAACCACTTTGCCACATATCAGGTAATCTACTCACCCATTGCAAAATAAGAGACTTTCTAAATATGTACGAATATTTGTAGGGAATCTGTAGTTGATAATTTATCTTGTTCAAAGAATGCGTAACATAACAATTATATATGTATACGCACCTCCATATCCGGGAATACAATTGCAAACAAATCTACCAATTTCATTTTGACAAACACCACCATTCAAGCATGGAGCACTGTCGCATTCATTCGCGTCAATCTCACAGTGCTGCCCCGTAAAACCTGGTAAGGAAATAAAACATAGGACGAATACGTTTCGTATATATATCACAATAGATACGCAACAGATATAAAAACTTGTTCCTTTGTATTCAATATCAAAAATAATTCAAAGTGTTATAAATACATGTACTAGTAATATCGAATATTTGTTAAATGCATGATTGTCAATTATTAAATATTATATATAATTATTCACAGCCATTTCAATCAAATATAATCAAATCTATACGCAAAATATAACATACAGTCATGTCACGAAGTACCATCACTGTGACTGCACTACATACATTCACACCATTTGTTAATTAACATACCTGATATCAATTTCAAAAACTCACACATATGCAAATCAATTATGTTTCATTCGAGAAAAAACATTGGCGTTTTCCGAAAATAAAAAGAAACATGTTGAGAAAAAAATAACAAATAACCGGTTCCCAATATATATACATTGTTGTTAGGCCCGCTATTGCAGTACTTGTTACATTCACTGTTTTCAAATTCATTATGAAACCTACTGTATCGTAGTAATTACCTGGTGGACATCGACACATATATTGTCCTTCACGTGACAAACACAGTCCACCATTTTGACAAGGCTCGGCATCACACGGGTCGACAATGTGTTCACACAAATTGCCTGTATAACCCCTGGGACACCGACACATAAAAGGTTGATTTGGATTTCCAACAGGAGTACATATTCCACCTAGAAATAACCAAATTATGAAATAGGTGCATATAAATGCACTTACAATGTGAAATACTGAAGTCAGATATACATCAGAAAATTACGACACATGTGTGTAATTGTTATGGTAAAGTTCAGGGGTGGATAACAAGAGGCGAACTGGTGTACACTATAACAGATGACTGTATTGAAACTCCTTGTGTGATGTGTCAAAGCACCCACTTAGGTACCCAAGTTTACATTCCTTGCATTTTGGCGGAAAGTGACTTTGGCCTTGTACATGATTGGGTAATATGGAGACGAGCTGATAGGTAAATAACTATTAATGAGGTTGTTTTATTGGCTAAAATTAACGTACTATGATTGGCTAAATTATTTGTAAGCAGAATCCTAAATCGACATCAAGCTCGGCTAGTTATATTTCCGATAACATAATTCCAACTCAGTATCAACATAATGAGACGTGATCATACGTATACGAGTTTTATGCTGTTTGACAGTGAATATCAACCTACACGCTACACGCTGATTTGCGTCATCCAGCTGTTCCTGCATAATTACCTGTGGATTCTTTTCCGTGCAGGTATTCAACACAAAACTCGTGTAGGCTAAGATTTGCATAATTTATATTGTAAATAATAATATCTGTTCGGTGCGTATGAATAAAAACAAATGAATTACCGTTCCGACAAGGGTTTTGTGAGCAGTAATCAACAAGTCGCTCACAGCTGCCACCGTCAAACCCATCTTGACATGCGCATTCGTAGCGATTAATTCCATCAATACACAGACCGCCATTACGACATGGATTAGATAAACACTCGTTGATGTTCGTTTCACATCTAAGTCCTGAAATATTACGGTACGATAAAGGGATACACACTTTCAACTGTGTTTATGATAAATGCTGTATATTATATATGATCACCAAAGATTGTGCTTCTGCCAACGTAGAAACGTGTTGCAATATTTGACTTATAGCAACTTATAGTAAAACACGTGAAATACTGAGGGAGACGCAGCTAGTCTTAGTAAATTATACTAAAATTACTCACATACTTTACTGCGAGAGAATATATCGTTTTCATTGATTAGTTTAGTCTAGCAATGACATAGATAGCAATTTGTTTGCCCATCATGAGCTGAAACTTCAGGCAGGTATTCTATTAACTCGAGATAAATCCACCTACAAAGTGATACGTAATAATGTCTAAATATCATACCCATAAAACCAGGTGGACACTGACACCGAAATTCAACGCCATGCTCCGTGCACCTTCCCCCATGCTGACACGGACCAGACACACACGGCCTAATTAGCAGCGTTTCACAGTTTTGTCCCGTGTAGCCTGGTCGGCAGTCGCATCTAAATCCGTTGACCAAATCCTGAAAGTAGTTAAATTATGCAACATTTACAAGAAACACATGTTCTAGCCAACACATATTGTATGCACTGATTGACCAAAATGAAACATAACAGTTTCGCGACACTGTCCTCACTATAAACCGCACACTGTCCTCACTGTCAAATCCTTGCCAGACAATTTGATTTATCATACAGCATTTCTGGCTAACTGACAAAATAACACATATGTATAAAAAGTATGTGTGATATGGTTGATTATTGATATATTCTGAATATAAAAATAAAATAAATAGATAAAGTACCTATAATTCATTGATAATACACTGTATAATAATCACAAGCTGTAATCAATATGATTTTTTGGGATATGTATTCAACCACATTATTTACACTATCCGAGCAAAGAATTAACAAATCAATATTTTCACATTTTTAATTTAGGTTTAACGTACCACGCAGCTACCTCCATTCTGACACAGTCCGGGACTACAGTCATTTATGTCTGTCGGTAGAAATAAAATAAGATCATTGCTTGACGTCGCTTGCAAAAGTGTGTACATAGTTGATTGATCATTCGGGGTAGCGAGAGTAAACTTGGACGCAAATGACGTCAAAGGTACACTGCCACATACACAGATCTCTAGATTAGAAATTAATAAATATTTGTGATTTAAATGCGGCCGTATATTGACTATGATAGATTCACTGTAATCTCATTTATTTTTGACAACTAATAATGAATATAATTATTAAGCCTGAAAAAGCTGGTCTGTTGCCGTTTTCAGGTAAAATAAACTTTATCACTTTAGCAGAATATATTCTAGCAGTAAGTGACTTTCTTGAATAATACATAAACATGTGAACGCCAAAAGAGGGTGACTGGTTTTATGTAGGCAACCATGTGCTCTAACCTATACATTAAACATGAAAGCACATGTCCGAATCATCTTATCGCTCTGAGAGTGATGCAAAATAGTCAACGTACTTGTTGCGCAGTTCCTCCCTCCGTAGCCTATTCTACATTGACACCTATAGTCTTGAAATAAATCAACACACTGTCCAGTTGAAAACCTTGGATGGCACGGGTTGCTGTCACATTGGTTGATATCTGCAACAAACGTAGTTCATGAGTGGTTATATCTGAAGAAAGATTATACCCGAAATGTCCAGCTATATTACATTGCTAAGTTAAACATTGAGTTTTGTACGTTTAGTGTTACTTAATTCTGGGTACTTAATGCTCCCGCAAATCGACTGTCAGTGTCGCGTATAGATGAATAAGTAGAGCTCACCTGTATACTTCTCCCAAAATTCCTCCTGTAAAGGTTAAAAATATTAATTAATTAATCAGGTATATTTCGGATTACATATTTTTGTATCCAAAGTAATTGAATGTGTTTTCATCTTTCTAGACAAGTTACGCGCCTCCACCACAGAATCTCGTACACAATTGCTTTGTCATCAAATATAACACTGTGGTGAATATATGGTAACAGGGGAAACATAATAACAGACCGTCTATTACACATAAATTAGTTTAACACAACTTGACGTTGAAACATACATAAGTGATGTTTAGTACGAAACAGCTTTATTTCAGAACTCTCAATTAGCGAATAGGCGTAGTATATTTTGAATTCTATAGCAATATCGTTTCGTGTGCTCTCATACTATCGAGAGGAAATTCAGCTTAATATACTAGATACATTTATATTAGGTTTACAAGTTTATACAATTTGAAAGTTAATACAAATACAATCCCCAATTCAACAATTTGAAATGTAAAGTTCAAATATCAGTCTTCATAGACACTGCGAACAGAAAACGCTATCGCTTCATTATTCTAACGTCGGATATTGATAAGATGGTATGTTATTATAAACTTATACGCGGTGTCATAATGGCTGTAACTTACTGTTCTGATGTTATCTTCGAAGACTTCACTGGCTTCTTCGTAACTGCACTTCTCTTCCAGGCATTCACGTTCCAAATTCGCTGACACATGGGCAAATTCCTCTGTACGGAAACGCGAATTTGCACGTCTCACTCTGTTCAGGAACCCGCTCGCTTGTGTTTTAGTCAAGAATACACTTCCTATGATGTGAATGTATATGACAGGTTAGACAACACGACGTTATTTAGAATGCCGGCAGTTACTTTATTTACACTTAGAATTGATGTCATTAGTCAGTTATTGCCCTTTGACATGGCTAGAAGTAAACTGAACGTCTTCTGTCAGCAACATACCCTGTAAACCAAAGTATCTAATTTCAGCTGTAGTTTGTGTAAAGTATAGCATTTAATTCGCCATAGTAACCGGATGGCATAACGCTGTAAATGAACTACGTTGCTTCGCCGTTAGCTTCAACTAAAGTCTAGAACGATTTTCCTAACCTCGATTTCACATTAAATGTTACACTGATCTTGATGAGAATTGGATTACCAGACTTACACATAAACACGTATAAATCATGTACCTTGCATGAGATCAAGTGCATTTCAAAGATATACACAACAAGGATACTTACCTCTGAAGTTACTTTGATGTGCAAGGGGAGGCGATTCTATTGGATCATTCAATGGGGAATTCGATACCTATATAATGAGATTGAAAGAGCAACCTTAACAATCACACACGCCTAAACTTTGATAATCGCAATAGAAGTTAACAAATTTGCGTTATATTAGTGTTATGATATTGTATAATACATACAATACATAATAATACAATACATAATACATAATACATAATATAATGTATAGTATAATATAATACAATACATAATACATAATAATACAATATCATAACACTAATATAACGCAAATTTGTATTATAATGTTCCAATGTATGTATCAATTTACGGAGAGTATAGATACGTGGCTAATGCTGGGGCACATGTGGTCGTTTGTTCAAAACATTCAATATTTACGTTTCAAACACTGTGCAAATAATATTTGTTCTAATTTGACATAACTTGTATCACGGTTACTTTTTTAGTAACCGTACTTGTAAAGATATATCAAGTAACTCACATGCATAAAGCCTTGAATCAAAAGCAAACAAATCGAAAGATGCTTGTGGTCTGTAATCCGGACTTCCATTTCCAATAGATACCTGAGATAAGAAAGTGCAAATAAATAATAGACTATTTACGGGTTTATATGTCACGTGGTATGTTTGTCCAAATATATCATTTCTATTTTAAAATGTAATAATATGCTGTTATTCTAATAGCGTAAAAGTAATTGCAATGTAATTATATGACGACAACACTTATTATTATTGTTAATATAATACATAAGAAATCATTATCACAGCGTACACTAGCGGAGCTACCGTGGCACAATTCAGCGTATTATTGCTGGGAAATCGAATCTTCCAATTATGCCAAAGCGTGGGTAAATACGGATTCCAGCCGCGAGGGAAGATGTAATCTTCTTTCCGCTCTGACAATATTTTATAAATGCCACAAAGTACTATATATTTAAGTGTAATGCAGCGTGGAATATGTAATAATCACCGCTAGGTATGCATACGATGTGATTAATTTGAGATCATTAAGGTTATTTTGAACACCCACATTATTATTCGGAAAACAGGATGTCTTTATCTAAAATATTAACTCAATGATTTATTTCTACACATCGACACTTCTTGTAAAAAAAGAGTGCACGTAAGTGTGTATGTTATCAATCAGTGCATTAGATGATGAAATGCACTGACGTTAAAGTTTACATCGAGTGTATACTGTAATTTATCAAAGCATGTTATCATGACCTATGTTTATTGACATTTAGGCCTTGACTTTTGCTGATGTCTCAAGTCAAACAACAGTACGTTTGTTTATAGATGAAATCCACAAACGACTCGGAGCTCAACGATTACGAGGCGTGTATGATTAAAGTTTAAGTAAAGGGTTTAAACCGAAATGTGTGATTGAAATTGAACTCATGTCTGTATATTAGTTCTTCCCTATAGTGTGAGATACTAAAAGGCGATTTTTGAATCTATTTTAAAATCCGCTAAAAACAAAATACGCGACGAGCTGGCCTATGTTTACTGGTAGGTTATGGTGTTTATTGTATACCAAAATATCACTCAAAAATAAAAGAAAATGTGTGCAAATTTTGAGGTGACAATTTGTAACGGAGCACATTAAATCGGATTGTATAATTGATGCTAGAGAACTGCGTAAGGGCGACCAGCTGTTGTTGTTGCATATCGCTTCTCTGGTCATGGACAGTGTGTAACACAATCTGACTAGTTAGTATTCGTTTATGGCATTCCACATTTGACGGTTGTGCTCAGTGGTTTTAGTGTATTGTGAGTAAGTGAGTAGTGCCAAGCACAATGACCCCAATAAATAATACCCGCTACAACGCAATGTTTGTATGAACCTCATCACAGATGTACACACACTTCCACACAATTCAGGTCATTGACAGATACTTGCACGTACATAATCAAAACATGCAATACTTATAATTACCATTCTAATAGATATCAAGTCCAATTTCATGCATTTCACATTTCACAAGCTATTTTATGATCGTGAAATATATGACCTATTCTGTGGATGGGGTTATCAATTTCCGATTCAACTCAATAAAAGTACGTTTCATGACAAGATGTTGGCCATGTTATGCACGGCTTGGTGGTGCAGTGATACAGAGATAAGAAAGTTTTCACTTATATCACTTAGAAGTTTACGATATTACTATGAAAGTATTTGTATAACACACTACCACATAACACAGCATGACCAGTACGTGAATCGCGTATCGTGTACATTACATACAAATAGAAAAAAACAGATATAGTTGCAAAAAATCAATATCTGATATACTAATTTAGTTTTGGCCGATAACATATGTTTTTCTATATTTGGTGAATTATTATATAATCAGACAGATTGATGATTTTGTGATCATTTGAGGGACCAGGGTTCTAATATATATTTGTATGTCTGTTGGCCGCAATTTATTTCATTTTTTTTTCAATTTGTTACAAGGTTACAACTGAACACCATATAAAAAGACACAAACCCTAAGAAAAGTTAGAGCTCCAGTCAATATTTTCACATATGTGCTTCCCGGTATATCGAGAATCGTTGTCACATTTGAAACCCACTAAGTTATTTGGTATGTACACTGTTAACAGTGTTACGGGGTTGCATAACAGTAACAGTTGTCAACCAGTATAAATCCGAGATATGAACAAATGATAGAGAAAAGTAAATATACCAAAAACTATTTGTCATTTTACATGACATTTTAGAATGTTGTTTTCTTCGAAACAAAATATGAAAAAGGGACTGTTTCAAACTTTGTCTCACCTCTACCGCCCCTAACAGTTAGAATGAACTTTTCAAAATGTGTGTTGTTGTTTTTTTCTCATTGAAAATATATGCAAATGATATTCTGTAACTAGAACGAAGAAGTCTACCACTCTACTGATTTACTGTCACGGCGCTTGATAAATAAACAGACAAATAGTTAAATCAGTCTGATCTCTTCAATCCGATTAAAACCAATTGATCACTCATATTGAATCATGATTTAAGTACACTTCAGTGGTTTAGAATGTGCTCATAGCAGAAGCTAGTCACGAACATACGTTCAAGTTTGTCACGTGTGTGAATTACACCAAACATGTATCCAGATTTGAAGGTTACGTATCTAACCATGAACCGATTTCATGAATCATGTTTATATATCGTACGCATTTTGTACACAGAAACGTATATGAGTAGGCAAATTACTCATGCGTGAATTGCAGATGAAAGTTATTAAAGTACATTTCATGAAGAAAATGTCATTATTTTTAACTTTTATAGCTTTTAATGCTTATGAAGCGCGTGTTGATGACACATACGGTATCACGTGATATCGAGTGTGACACGCCCTTTTCTGGAGGGATATTAGTAATATCGATTGTAGCATTATATGTGACAATTTAGTCCAGTTTAGCTCACTTACCTACACTATTACGTGGAGCTTGGGCTTCCGCGTGTCTGCTGCAATTCCCGCTGTGAAGAAATCCACGTCGACTTCAGAGAACTTCTACGAGGCAAAACTCAGGAGAATTGCCAAGCCCTGGGAGGGATCAAACAAGCGAGCATGTGCCCTTTTTGTATATACTAGTTCTCATAACACCTAAATCATGGTGAAACATACACAGTGTCATGACGATGTTTACATAGAGTGGGAAGATGATCTACTTTATTCAAGGATGCATACGTCGATAAGACTATCGGGTAAACATGTTATTGTTCTAGTCCACTTCAGGTCATTGTGATTATTTATCCATCACCCGAACCCATGGACTGTCTCCAGATGATTACTTATTGACTTTATTCATAGCATCGCATTTATTTGGTTTTACTTTGGTGTTGACTGTGTGTTACTCTACTAATCACAATTGTATTTGCATATCTGGACTATTGGGCCACGTGATCCACTACCCCTGCCTTAAAAGGGCGGGATCAATCTCGTACTTGGTAGACATCGATCGGACGGCTCGGTGTTTTGTTGTTGTCCAACCAACTATGAGCATGCTATAATATCTCTTGGCGTCCATGCGACCATGCGACCATCACATAACAACCAGCTAAATGACAATGTATTGTACTGTATCTACCGATAGATATTTCAGAAGTGCGTTATAACAAACGTTGCCTTCCCCAATAACAGCACTAGCAAAGCATTTGAAATTAAAGTGCCTGTGAAATACCCATCCACACGTTTCCCATTTTAGATCTGTTTCCCACTGAAATGGGCAGTTAATGATTTTTTTGCTGAAAATGGTTACTCGTATCCAATTTAACTTGAGATATTTTTCGTGTTGTAGCCACGCCCACCTATCCTAAAAAGGTCGACTGCAGATTTCCGACTCTCGCCGAAAGTGCGCCACCAAATGCCAAAATATGAGAGGAAGCCATATCCCTGAGTCATACTTTTATAACACTGCTTCATTCAACATACTTTTAAACGATAAACATTTTTCGGTCGGCGTTTCTTTTTTTTTTTGTGTCTATTTTATTTATTTTTTTTGAAAGAGAGAGAGTTTTTAGAAGTTGTTTTCACAACAAACATTTATGATGGTTAAACGTTGTGTTGTGGCCGGTTGAAGTAATGTAATACGTATATTCACAGTGTAAGTATTCACACGTTTCCATAATTTATGCTTAGAACCATAAAAATTAATAATATCTATGTATCAATGGATAATTTTAGGCGTGAAAATAGCAGCCATTTCACTGGTACTTTAAATAGTTGAACAGAGTGGTTTGTAAACAGGCAGTAAACAGTGTCGTTACATTATCAGCCTTATTGAAACTGGAACAATGAAAATATTTCCCACAGATTTCAAATCCAACTGATTTCCGCTAAAATCACAATCAACCATTTAAGTCTCTATTTTTTGCATTATTCATAATGAGAGAACATTTGATCTGACGAATGTGGGTACAAGATACTGTAGTTGAATTTAATCCGTCCATCACGGTTGTATCTATCTATACGACAAAGAGTTGCTTAGATATGTTTGTCTTTACAATGTCAGTTGTTAGTGCTATAATTGAACTATTTATCTGCTGAGAGGGCGCTCATTGACTACGTACTTGTAGTAGGATTTCAGCTCGTAAGCACATAACACGTTCTCAAATGACGTGCTGACATTTACTGCTACGTTCAAAACATAAAAGGAATTTGTTTTTGATCTAGATAAATCAGATGACATTTTCATCGCTGATGCGGATTCACTAACATTTTGCTCGCAATATATATAAGTCCCTCATAACCCTCGACCATACTTAACCCTTATACTAACACTCCATATGACAACCCCTCCTATCCGTGCCATCATTGAGAAATCTTTCACGGAAACGTGTTTATGGAAGTTTATTAAGCATCTGTAGCAGAGTAAAGTTTTTGATAAAGAAAACGAAATTGGAATAAAGGGTCTGTTATTTTATCCCGCCACACACTTTTCATTCGCCGTGGTCTACATCGTAAGTCATCTGACATAACATCATTTCGTATATATATTACATTTTATAGTCTATTCTCTTCTCTGAATTCAGTATGACGCCATGCTAATGTTGTTATTAATCACCACTATCAGAATTTAACAAATTTAGCAAAATTTGGAGGATTTTAGTTGGAATACGTTTACTTGCAAATGAATGTTCTCGTTATCACATGTTAGTGTAAAGTTATGACGTCATACAAACATCTAATTCTGATAGTAGTGATTTATATCATCTGAGATCACTTATGGACTGTATTATTTCCTCACCTGACATTTCAGTCCTTAACACAACGAGTACCAACCAAATGGCAACTCTATGAGTAATGTTATTCGGCGATAACCCCTTCATCACATGACCAACTGCGAGTGAAGGCAAAAGGTTAATTGAACCACTCCGGTCAATGACTTGGAAATAATAAGATTAGAATATTAAACTCTAGGGGCGATATTTACATCTCTACTCAGTGATTTCTCTAGCATTTTTTTACATATACATCAAGTGTTCATTGATCAATGTCGAAGTTGAGTAATATGGTAGTTGTAATTGAACA